CAGTGGTTCGAATCCAGTACAGGCCTGATTTTTTTCAGGTGTGATTTTCGCTATTGTATAAATAGCGCTATCTACTGCGAAGGATCGTGCATCATACGTAGAAGAAGCTATGTATGTTTTTTTTTGTTCATAAACTCGTATCAGATAACACTTAAAAAATAACTTTCTGCTTCGTAAACAGTAAGCTGTTTGTAAAATATTTTTCTCATGCTTTGAACATGTTGAAAAATATTTAAAGGATAATGAACATAATAGCTTATATTTGGCGCGGGACATGCTCGTATATTTGTCCTTAAACATAATCTGTTCCTCGAACCTCACAGTTTTCCGCGAGCTTTGCCCTCGGAAAACTCTTCTCATTTCAGAACAGATAATGTCCGCGGATAAATATCCGTGTTTATTATATAGATACTGATGAAATACCAGGATTTTTTCCTTTTACTAAAAACTCATATCTTCATCGCGCGCACTGACGATACTATTTTTATCATACATATGTGAGGATACTGGTGTCTCCATGGTTACTAACATGCTGTTATAGAATTTTCTCTTCTTCATTAGAATTTTGACTTTTCGCCTTGTTGTCATGTTCTTTTATTTGGCCTTTTTTGTGCCCTCACCTTTACTGGGCTGAATACTTTTATGTAGCCAATGAGGTGACAGTATTTTTTATAAACTTATTTTGTATACTATTTATATGATTCTGTTTATTACAATTAAAGCGGCTATGAGCTTTTCCCATAGCCATTTTGATCCATATGCATATGGTATCTGTGTTTCATTACCCAGTAAACAGAGCTCAACAACGCAGTACCCCAGGTTTATAGTAATATAATCGAGGGAAAGACATAAAGTTGTGTGTTATGTGGAAATTTCATCAGTATCTATAAAATAAACAGAACATCACATGACCGCGCGGGGATACCAATTTTTTTGAGAGATACTTACAGCACTTGACTGGAGATAAAATTCATATCCCTGCGCGGTCATGTAATAACCTCTGTATATTTTCCCGCCAAATGAAGGCTAATGTTTTTATATTTATCAAAAACGAAGTATCCCCATGTAAGAACAAAATGTGAAACATACACGAAAGAAATCGATACCAGGTAGGGACCCCAATACCTGGAACTATTCAACAATTCGCCCGTGCATCAGTCTTTAGAGTACGAAGGACGTGCAGCAGAGAGCAACCCTAGCCTCATGAGTGCATCCACACTTGTCATTGCGTTCACACACGTCATCGGCTTGCAAAGTGGGAAGCACGCACATGCAATTGAATTTTATTACATGAATTTTCCAGCTTTGCTTTTCAGACATAGCTAGATGCGATACCAATTTTCTCTGTCTTAGATATTGATGAATGTGCTTCGGAAACGCATAACTGTCACGCGGATGCAAACTGCACCAATACCAAAGGATCATTTTACTGCACATGTCATACGGGATACTCTGGAAACGGAGTCACCTGTGTGGGTATGTAAGAACATCAATGGCCTTTTCAGAGATGTTTGCATAAAACAATGTGACTTGATTTTCGACTATTTTCTTGAAGAGTTCTGAAAAGAAGAATAGTCGCATTGTTACTTCAAGAACACTATCTATGCCAATAATTTTATCTTTCACTTGGGGTGTACCCCATAATGTCCACTGAGATAATCGCGCAGTTTTTATGGTGTATTTACGTCTTCCATCACAGATATTAGCGAGTGTCAGACCGACAGGCTTGCATCTTATCACATCACCCAGTATGCCCATAATTGTCACGATGACGCAAACTGCACAAATACCAAAGGTTCGTTTTTCTGCACCTGCTATCACGGCTACTCGGGAGACGGTGAAATTTGTGCAGGTATGTGACTGATGCGCAATGCTTCCTCGCGAATTGTCTCGCTGCTTAAAGCAGGGGAGGTATATTGTGTACAGGAAGGATAGTTGATGGGCGAGCGAAACAATACGGGAACGGTTTGATTTCCTTAAGGTTAATCAAAAAAAATTCCAGTTCGGCAAACTGTCTGCAGTTGCCTAAAGAGACGATGATGTAGCTTTACTTATTGACTAGCTGGTTGGTTCATAACTGACTGACTGACTGGCCGACTATGAGAGCAACCGAATGAGTAACTACGGAAGGGCCAATTTATTGAGTAGGACACTCTTAAGCGAGCATATATTAAGTAGAACATATATTTGTGGTTCTTCCCGTACTGAAAAGTTACTTCTCTGACTTGATATTGGGAATTTTACTTAGATATCGACGAATGTCATGTGAACGGTTTGGCTCTGAAACATGTGGACGAATTTTCCCACAACTGTCATGCTGATGCCAACTGTACCAATACGAAAGGATCATTCTACTGCACGTGCCTTAATGGGTATTCTGGAGATGGAGTCACGTGTTTAGGTAATTTTTAGCTCACCAAGAGGACTTCCTTTGCCGTTTTAAGTTAACAAAACTCCTGATCCATTTTATTAGCTTATTTATTGGTACAGTGTATTTGTCGCTTGTAGTAGCTTTACGTACTAACCACTTTCCCAATTTTGAATGTCGCAGTTCTAGCAATTCCCACTCTTTCACCTTTTCGACTGGTTTTCAGACGTCCTAGTTCTGAACGTGGCCCACAGCAATCAATTTTCGAACTCAAAACTAGAACACATTTGCGTATTACAAAAAATGGAAAATCACAGAGATGCAAATACAAATTAAAGGTTTTTCGGAATCTGAAAACCGGTCACCTCGTACTTGTTGCGTTATATTAAATAACTTTTAATATTACAAAATCTTTACTGCATTACAATAAACCATTTAAAAGAAGAAGTAATAGGGAAAGATAAAAAATCGTCTTTTCAGATATTGAAGAATGTGGCACAGACACCGACAACTGCCATGATGATGCCAATTGTACAAATACTAAAGGGTCCTTCTTCTGTACTTGTCTCCATGGGTACTCTGGAGATGGTGCCATATGTAAAGGTAGGCTAAACGTCGACTAAGAATTTATCATTCTATCATTTTTGCGAATTTTGCAAAGGCACCATGAATCAAGCACTACCTTGTGACTTAAGCGATAAGATAAAACAGACAATGAGAAATACATTGGTATTTCAATGTTACCAAACTGAACCAACACAGTGCTTTAACCTTTGGCTTTTATTAGATATTGAAGAATGCTCATCGAATATTCATAACTGCCATGCTGATGCCAACTGTACAAACACCAAAGGATCCTTCCACTGCACTTGTCATACGGGATATTCCGGAGAGGGAGTCAGCTGTGTTGGTAACAAAAGACATTTTTCAGAGCATCTTTCTTGAATGGATTCATTTGTCTTACTCATAAATCAATCTTGAAGTGAAAAATGACTGAAAGGAGCTTTTGCCATTGTCTGGATACCAAGTGGAAGTCCTTATAACTACTTGTATCCCCTTCCCTCACCTCTTAATGGAGCGACTTTTAACTTCACCGTAATACAACCTTAAGCCATTTTTATCACGACATTTAACATTTGTTCGAGGACATCAGCTGTTTTGATAAGACAACAATTTTCTGAAAGCGAAAGTCAAAGAAGACAGTGAGCTACGAAGGCCGTGCATGTTGGGTACACAGAAAAACGCGCGAACTTATTTAAAGCCTATTTCAAATTAAGGAATGTGAGAAGTTTCATCTGGGTCATCCACGGTCACGTGAAATATGAGATGTGGTATGAGTTAGCTTATTGATATTGGAAAATTATCAAATCGTGGACTCTGTTTTTTCAGATGTGGACGAGTGTTTCCCCGATCAGATATCTGATGATTATCGTCACCTTGAGAACAACTGCCATGCTGACGCCAATTGTTCTAATACTAAGGGCTCCTTCTTTTGCACCTGTCATATCGGTTATTCTGGTGATGGAGTCACGTGTGTTGGTAGGTTTTTAAGGTGGTTGGGCTGATCTTTAGAGAGGAATGTTCAGCAGAAGTAGCCGAGGTATAAATGAGTGAAAAATCATAAATTCTAGTTGCTTTTTCTCAAATTGGTCATAAGTATCAAAATCCAAAATAGCCGGTAAACACGTTTATGGATAGGAACCCGCAGTGCAAGCATTGGCCATCCTTTTTTGTTCAAACTTGTAGAAAAATTATTGACTCGTTAAACTTGATTACTTTTCATTTCCAGATATTGATGAATGTAATCCATTTGCGTTGTCTTCAAAGTACCATGACCTTGCACACATCTGCCACAGTGATTCTAACTGTTCAAACACAAAAGGATCGTACTACTGCACATGCCTGACTGGATACTCTGGAGACGGTATCTCTTGTGAGGGTAAGTAATTAATCTGGCCTGAAAATTTCCCTATAATTTAGAGAAGCTATCTCGGCATGTTGTGACTCAACTAGAGCAGGGACTGCTTTGCGTTCCTAGCTACTGGCGAATTTTGTTTGTTCTCTTCTCTTTGTTTACTGCAACCTACACCGATGTTTTCTCCCTGTCACTTAAGGAAAGGATATATTAACCTTTCTCTTTGATGTAGATATTGACGAGTGCGTCGCTGGAACACACAACTGTCATTCTGATGCCAACTGCACCAACACCAAGGGATCATTTTATTGCACATGTCTAAAGGGATACTCTGGAGATGGAGTGCTGTGTGAAGGTATCAAATTTGTCTTCTTATCACTACCATTAAAGTAAGCTGTGAGATCGTCAAGTAGTGGCATAGCTAAATTTCAACATGCCCTCCACTATCACAAACAAATATGTAAGAACGTTTAAGAAGGTATTGCATGCTTTTACTTTGGTGTTCTTCGTGTAAGACATGAAAACTAACTAGAAGTTAAATAGGCCTGGTCAGTTGTGTTCGTGATATAGATTTCACTAACATCTACTTTTTCATAGATATCAGTGAATGTCGTGTGAATAGCTTGGGTCAACAACACGTGCAGGAGTATTCCCACAACTGTCATGCTGAAGCTAATTGTACCAACACCAAAGGATCTTTCTACTGCACTTGTCATCATGGATATTCCGGGGATGGAGTCACATGCCAAGGTATGAATTTTTCATTGGATGTCACCATTCGCATTTCTTCTTCCAGTGCTAGTTGTTTATTTATTATACACTTAAATTATTTCCCCTATGTTTTTCGTCTTTTAGACGTCAATGAATGCTTTCCTAGTCAGATATCTGAGGAGTATGGTCATCTCGCCCATAACTGCCATACCAATGCTAACTGCAGCAACACAAAGGGATCCTTCCACTGCACCTGTGTTGATGGCTTTTCTGGTAATGGAGTTAATTGTTTCGGTGAGTTCTGAAGGTGGAAAAAGATGATCTAAATAATATATAATAATATGCTCTTCTAGACAATAAAGCTACCTCATTAGCTACCTCATCAAATCTCACCTAACTCCTGATCCACTTATCTTATTAAACTTAGAAGTTTCATACGCTCAATTAATCCTGAGTTCGTCGCTCTTGACGTTTGCTTTGGTCAACTCTTCTAGTATAAGCTTCATTTTTCTACTGATAGTGGCTATATTCATATTTGGTAAATATCTAATTAACAATGTCTTTTCAGTACCAAATCCAGGGCAAGTCATCCCGAGGCATAGTTTAACTTTTAAAATTACTGAGGTTCTCTCCATTGGCAGAAAACAACTTAAAAGTTGCCCATCAAAAAATATAGCTAAAAACATGTAAGACATGACTTGCATTTTCCTTACATCCAACTTAAAAATGAGTCCGTAGAATGGACCACACACAGCTGTTTAAGAGATTATTTGTCATTGCAAAAGATATTGAGGAATGTACTACAGACACGGACAACTGTCACGCTGACGCCAATTGCACCAACACCAAAGGATCGTTCTACTGTACCTGTCATCGTGGGTATTCTGGAGACGGTGTCATGTGTGATGGTGTGTATTACTCAATTGATAAAATGATGATTTTATTTGTTAGTTGATGTAATACATGAGCCTCAGGATAAGCGCTGCTAATATTTGATTGCACCCTTTCTGCAGATATCGATGAGTGTTCACCTGGTCAGATTTCTCAAGAATACAGACATCTTGTACACAATTGTCACTCTGATGCAAACTGCTCCAATACCAAAGGATCGTTCTACTGCACATGTCACACAGGGTATTCTGGAGACGGAGTAACATGTGTTGGTAAATTTACACGTATTGATTCTAACACTCTATCAATAGATAATAAGGCTGCCTCTGATGTCAATTTTATACCCCCTGGCTTGCCTCAATTTCCTTTTAGGCTTTAGCCTGTGTTCTTTGGACCATTTTTCGGTCAATGGCCTCTAGGTCTTGCAGATTACATTTCAAATTTGAAACGTCGATTGGTTAGAGGGAAGAGAAGAAGAAAAGAAGCCACCTCTGTCTCAAAAAATGTATCTTATTATTCCAGACATACAGGAATGTGCTATACAAACAGACAACTGCCACGATGATGCAAATTGCTCCAATACCAAAGGATCATTTTATTGCACGTGTCACTTAGGATATTCTGGAGATGGTGTCACCTGTAATGGTACGTGAATGATGTTGAAGATCGTTTTTCATAGATACGTTTAAAAAAGTGACAGTCTTACTCTCTTTATCACACACACGCACACACAGACATCGATGAATGCGACCCATCTGGATTGTCATCTGATTAACAACATCTGGCAAACAAGTGTCATGGTGATGCTAACTGCACAAACACCAAAGGCTCATACAACTGTGGCTGTCAAGATGGTTACTATGGAAGTGGAAAAGACTGCAAAGGTAATACTGGTATATTAGCTTTGATTATAGGTTATGTGAAAAACTGAAACACTATATTAAAGTGACCACATTTGATTTTCAGATATTGATGAATGCACGTCTGGCACACACAATTGTCATGCAGACGCCAACTGCACCAACACCAAAGGATCATTTTATTGCTCTTGTCATACAGGATATTCAGGAAATGGAGTTACTTGCGTTGGTAAGTAGGATCTTGACTAAATGAGGTAATTGAATATCAGTGGTTTGATTATGTTATGTTAAGAGAGAAAAGTGTAATCCTCGAAGGCCTTATTTATTGTTCATGATTTTGTTCTTTATTAAGATATCAGTGAGTGTCAACTGGAAACCTTATCAGGCAGTCATGTCCAGCAGTATTCTCACGACTGCCATGATGATGCTAATTGCACTAATACTAAAGGATCGTTCTACTGCACCTGTCACCATGGTTACTCTGGAGATGGAGTCATTTGTGTCGGTAATTGCACACCCTCGGTTTTTTTTTTGCCAACGTGAATTAATGATTTCTGAATTTGTTCAAGTGAAATTTATGAGACGAAGGAGGAAAGGACGGGAAAGTTGCCATAAGTATTTCTTAAACTCCTCTGAAAGCAATTAAAAGAAAAATTTGCAGTCACTTCGGTTTCAGTTTTCCAGCTGTATTCACACTTCTAACTTCCAGATAAGTTCTGACATGTAAAAAGGTACGAAACAGACTAGCCACCCTCAATCCATGGGGAACATTATTTATGCAACCTTTTACATCAGTTGTATTTCACAAAAAGCTTCCTTGTTTCTCTCATTCCAGATATAAATGAATGTTATCCATTGCGACTATCATCTCAATATGAGGATTTTGCACACAATTGCCATGACGCTTCCAACTGCACCAACACCAAAGGGTCCTTCTACTGCACTTGTCATACGGGATATTTAGGGAATGGCGTCTCCTGCGTTGGTATGTAAATACAACGATCAAATGTTAACCGTTAATCAATAATCCACTAGTAATCCATGTCATGATTCATCCATTCCTGATCTAACAACTTTTTTGCAATTAACTCCTGATCTATAACCCTTTGATATTTCAACTGTTCATTTTGATTGAGTTACGAGTTGATTTATAATCTTTACTAGTTTATTCTACAGTGCATTTCCAAATGCCCCTTTGGGTCCTCCTTTCTTAACTTTGTTTTATTGCAGACATTGAAGAGTGTTACACAGATACAGACAACTGTCATGCTGATGCCAACTGTACGAACACCAAAGGTTCATTCTACTGCACATGCCATGTAGGGTACTCAGGGGATGGAGTAATTTGCTCAGGTATCTTAATTTCGCTTTGGAAGGTGTGTTATTGTTTGTAATCATAAACTCTTTGAAATACTGTAGGAACGACCCTTCTGATTACTAAACTTGAAACATAAAATTGCTCTGCGTTATTCAGTGGATTTGTTTTTAATTTGGGCAATCACGCGAAAGAAGATTGCCATCAAATGTAACCACATTTAGAGCTTCAGTAATGTGTAAAATTTTAAAGATGTTTTGTTGTAAAATTTTAAAGATGTTTTGTTAATATTATAGATCTGAACGAGTGCGTAATTGGGACCCATAGCTGTCATACCGATTCAAACTGTTCGAACACCAAGGGTTCCTTCTACTGCACATGTCTGACTGGCTACTCAGGAGATGGGGTCAGTTGTGTTGGTATGTATGGAGATGTTTGTTCTATAAATCACGATAACCTTGAAAAAGAATAGCTATGACCTTAAGAGACTTCCAAATCCATACCGCTGCTTCGAATACCTTTACGTATTTTATTAGCATCTTTTGTGTCCTTTAAGAATTGAAAATACAAAAGAAATTAAGGGTACGCTTACATAACGAGACTTATGAAAAGAAAGCTTATTTTGTTTTGTGTTGTATCAGTACCCTCAATGATAAATATAAAAAAAGCCTTAATCAAACAGATATCTTTCTGATATTCCGAGCATATAAATTCTCTTAGCATGTATAATCCTAATTTGGAAGATCTTCTTACAATATCTTTTTCAGACATAGACGAATGCTCTCCTGGTAGTATTTCTGATCAATATAAAGGTCTTGCGCACAACTGCCATATCGATGCCAATTGCTCCAACACGAAGGGATCGTTCTACTGTACATGTCATAACGGATACTCTGGAAATGGAGTTATTTGTCAAGGTAACTAAAGAACACCTCCTCCTTCGGGAGTCGACATCCAAACAATTTTTCATTCATGCTCATAGAAAATCAGGCAGACACACAAAGCTGAATTCATTCGAAGACTACGTCCGTATGCTGAGACCTGCTGTTTTTGTTTCCTTAGCTTCGGAAAAATACATTGACCTCGATGGGATAATTGGCAGTGGATTTAGTCTGTCATTTGAGAAACTTACGTTTGTACTTTTTCTACAGACGTAAACGAGTGTTCTCCCTCGAGTCTGTCATCTGAACATCAACATTTGGAAAACATCTGTCATGACGATGCAAACTGTACCAATACCAAGGGATCGTACTACTGTACCTGTTTAGTGGGGTATTCAGGAGACGGAGTCACATGCCAAGGTGAGATATTCCTCTTTCTTTTGGCGATGGCAACTTCATTATGACCAGGTTTGCTGAATTTTAACGCCTTGGTGTTCTTTTCTATCGACAGATACTGATGAATGTTTCCCTGACAGTATTCCTGATAGATATAAACATCTTGCTCACAATTGTCATCCGAATGCAAATTGCACCAACACCGAGGGCTCATTTTATTGCACATGCAAGACTGGTTTCTCTGGTGATGGGGTCACGTGTAAAGGTAAGTTGGTGAACATGCACACCTCTCAAAAATCGCTTCTTTTAAAGCTTATGTAAACAAAGACAAATGATTGAAGTTTTTGCCGAAGTTTTTGTACTTGTTTTCTATTCATACGTGTTTCACCAAAGATATCAACGAATGTCAACCAGAGGGTTTAGCCCTATCCCACAGCTACTATGCCCACAACTGTCATAATGATGCTAACTGCACCAACACAGAAGGATCGTTCTTCTGCACGTGTCATACGGGATACTCAGGAGATGGAGTGATATGCGAAGGTACTTATAAAACCCATTGTTACGACCCGTTGTTACGCCCCTAAGTCGTAAAATATGTTTGCTTTCAGTCCTTATCAGTATTAAGTCTGTAAAGGTTGATCATTGAAGATCATTGAAGGTTGAGTGATCTGAAATTTTTTAAAATATCTAACAAGGGATCCTCACCTTTCTTTCCTTGGTCCACTACAGTTTGATATAACGCATGATCTTTTAGGCTGTTCTGGGCCAGTTTTCGCGGAACCGCAGGTGATTTGGCTTGTTTCCTCTGACGGACTGCTAGTTTATTTGAAAATGCACCTGGAGCTCGCCAAATTTCTTCTATTATTCAAGTATTTTATAATCCAATGCATATGAGCAGAACAAGCTGAAATTGGGCAACACCTTAGATTGATGAAAAACTATGGGTACGAAACTGAGGGAGGCCGTTGTCTCGGAAGGTTAAACATGTGATTCACTCACTCTATGATTAATCCTTTTATCTCTATAGATGTGAACGAATGTTACCCGAGCGAAATCTCTGAGGAATATAAAAACCTTTCCCACAATTGTCACGGAGACGCCAACTGCACCAACACTAAGGGCTCGTTTTACTGCACATGCCTAAATGGCTATTCAGGCGACGGGGTCATGTGCGTCGGTGAGAATCAGTTATATGAAAGTGCCATGATTTAATTTAGAAAACTTTAACAAGCTGCATTCACTAATATTGATAATGTAACTAAGGATAACAACTACGTAACGCCTTGTTCCTGTCACTAACTTCTAATGCTGATCCATATTGCTAATAGCTAACGTTGGTAACAATTCCCTCCTTACGGTGCATCAGAATATCTTGAGTTACAGTGTAGCTGTATTAATACAGAACACTTCTTACTTACTAACACTTCTTCAGTCTAGGTAAGTTCAAATTATATTTGATGCGATATTGACTAGTCATACTTCTTATCTTTTTCATGTCACCAATATAACACGCACTTGGCAAATACAGCTCTGATATCAATAGTTTGATACTAGTTTGTTTACTTGAGTGGTGTTTGCTGTTTTTGTCCTGTGGGTGCACACTTTTCTTCTTAGTAGAAGTTACAGTCAACTAAGCTGCAAACAGAATGATAGGTGAAACAACTGCTTTATAGTCATTGTGTCATGGATATGAAACTATAAATGCCTCGGACGCTCAGACACAACATTAAGAATGATTCTGTTTGGTACTTCTCCTCATGTTTCTTCATATCAACCTTTCCTTTTTCCAAGACATTGAAGAGTGCCTGACTGATACAGACAACTGCCATTCGGACGCAAACTGCAACAATACCAAAGGATCATTTTATTGTACTTGTCTCACAGGATATTCTGGAGATGGAGTCGCGTGTGTAGGTAAGAAATCATTTTCCAGAAAGGGAAAAGAACTTTTAACCATCCGGTAAGTTCCTTAAGTTGAACCATTCGATATGAAATAAAAATATATATATAAACCTTACGAAACAACTCTTACGAAAACGAAGATGTTAAAACCGCGATAATACATGTACCCTTTTTGTGGAATCTCACGAGGATTCATTTTTCACACTTTCTAAAAATTTTCTTCACCGTTTTGTTCATCTGATTATTAGATATAAACGAATGTTCTTCGGGCATGTTGTCTGTCAACCACACACATTATGCTAATGACTGTCATGATGATTCAAACTGTACCAACACAAAAGGATCCTTCTACTGAACGTGTCTCAATGGATATTCCGGAAATGGGGTCACCTGCGTTGGTATGTCCTCTTATTTGTCTTCAGTTAAATTCAAAAGAACTATTTGCCGAATATAAATTCCTCATTTTCATTAATCCTTGTGATTTTTGGATGATTTCCATTGTTCTCTTTTCAGATGTAAATGAATGTGATCCTCATGGAATCAGTGAGACTTACAAATATCTAATGCACAACTGCCACAATGATTCCAAATGTACCAATGAAAAAGGCTCATTTGATTGCACATGTTTAATTGGTTATACTGGAGATGGGGTTTGGTGTGAAGGTGAGACGAAGGGAATGGAACATTTTTAGGCGACTGTTTAGTTCCCAGAACACGTTTATAATTACTCTTGGTAATAAAAGTCCCGAAAGATACTTTTTAGCGAAGAGCAAAAAGAGGCTGATTAAGAGATCCCGAAAAGAAACAAAACAGACCAGCTAAGCTTCTATCTCCAAAATTTAGAATAAAGCATGGCTTGGGCACGTTAAGTTATCAGGAATTTCGAAGAAAGAGCCCCATAGAGACTTCAAATTAATCACAAGTTTAACGGAGGTCCGCTCCTTATTGAATCTGGGGGTGGTATTCTATACAAATCTGTCTGTGCAAATCTCGTTTTTCAAATAGACATAGATGAATGCTACACAGAAACCGACAATTGTCATGCTGATGCAAACTGTTCCAACACCAAAGGATCTTTCTACTGCACGTGTCACACAGGATATTCTGGAGATGGAGTGATTTGCGAAGGTAAACTTAGGATTACTTTGGATTTGATAAATTACCACCTAAATACTCACCCCTTATTCTCGTCCTTATTCGAGAAGACTACAACGTCTTACCATTTACAGCTGTCATAACAAAGGCTACACATTCTCATCTGCCATTTTAAGTCGTTGAGTGCTGGCCTAATCTAGGGCTTGAACCGAATCGATGATTCTCCTGTAATTGACAGTCTGGCGCTCTAAAATTGAACTAACCAGGCGGCAGCGTCATTTAGTAATGAGAATTAGCAACTCTATGCAATATGTATCATAGAGGTATTGATTATATGAAGTATTACGGCTCCAAGTCTCGTCACGTTGACTTTCCAATATTGCCGTACACATCGAACTCATCAGCTGAAACGCACTTTTATCTTTTTTTAGACATCAACGAGTGTTTTTCACATGATCTGGCAGCGAACTACTCACATTACGCGCACAACTGCAATGCTGATGCTAACTGCTCTAACACCAAGGGATCATTTTACTGCACATGTCACGTGGGATACTCTGGAGATGGTGTTGCTTGTTTGGGTGAGTTTCTATTTGTTGACGTGTGTATTTTCTTGAGCCTCTTCAACCTTTTCAAGACTCAAGCGGTCATTTTAGATTTTTATTGTAATTATTCGTACATTATGAAACTTAAATTATCATTTGGTTTGCCTTAATAATTAATAATTGTTGAACTTTAATCACCAGATATTGACGAATGTGAAACTGATACCGACAACTGCGACGCGAATGCCCACTGCAACAATACCAAAGGATCCTTTCAATGCACTTGCAATGTTGGCTATTTTGGAAACGGTACTGTGTGTAAAGGTGCGTTATCTGTAAGAAAACGAAACCTCAAACACGAAGAAATTCTCGCGTTACTAGTTAAAGCGGACAGTTTTCTTGTCGCGTCTTGGCTCAGGACGCGAAGAAAGATCGATTCAAGTTCTTGAATTCATTTTAAAACAAGATAAACAGCACTGGATAATAATAGTTTGAAATGAGGAGTAATTTAAAGTTAGGAGAGGGAATAGTATAGTTAAATGATATATTTGTTATCGTAGATATCGACGAATGCACTGAAGACAAACATAACTGCCATAATGATTGTATTTGTATCAATACAAATGGATCATTTTATTGCATTTGCCAAGAGGGTTATACCGGTGATGGGGTCAACTGCACAGGTAATGATGACTAAATGCTTGATGTTCACAAGCATATATTGTGATCCAACCCTTTTTGTTTCAAAATCAGTTCTGATTTTGCTTTTCGGATTGAGTGTATGTGTTTTCACTTTGCGTTTTGTGCTATGCTCGAGAAAAACCCTTATTTATGATCATACAGACTTGTGAGACAGCAATAGTCAACAATATTGGATGTTACAATGAATATATGAAGTTCATATATTTTGAACTGCGGTTGTAGATACGTATGATGCACGATCCTCGCAGTAGAGAGCGCTATTTATGCAATAGCGAAAATCAGACCTGAAAAAAAAATCAGGCCTGTA